AAGTTTTATTAATCAAAATTAGGATTTTTTTTTTTAACCAGAAATGTCATTGTACCGTAAAGAACGGTAATTTTACCATATTTTTTTCTGTGTGCAGAATGTCATTATTTATTTAGTAACTAATTAATATTTTGAATAATTTATGTTTTATTTTATTCAAAGAAATTGTTCTATTGAAATTAGAAAACGAATTTTAAATGTCAATGTTTTTTAAGTATTATTAAAACTTGAACTTTTAAAACTGTAAATATAGAAGAAGTCTTAAAAATACTTACAACCTTAACAAAGTTCAATAGAGCATTTTTCAATGAATAAAGGAAACAAAAACTATTTATAAACATTGATTAGTTACTGAATAAATAAGGGAATTCTGGGCATAAAAAAATTTCCATGGTTTGACATAATAAAAGAAATTTGTTTTTTGTTTTTATGAGAATCTTAATACTCGAAATCGGAAATAATGTTAAGTAGTGGTCTTCAAATGTTTGTGCCGGAGGGTCACATCAATAAATTCAGGAAATCTCACGTATCACGCACCTGCTAAATAATGTAATACAGTTAAAGCAATTGATTAGTTTAGCGCCGTGCAGAGTCGTTTGCATGCTCGTGGCAAACTTCCTGATTAAAGGTGCTTCTAAATTCTGAAAAGAAAAGTGTAATCTTTGCTAGTGAAACAAAGTGAATCTAGTTAATAATAATAATATTTTAAATCCGTGTTTAAATGTCGATTTACTCATAGTAATTGTAAATTATTCTCAGGTAAAAAATTTCTTATTTCCAAGATTAATTTTAAAAAAAAAATTAAACAGTGTTTAAATTACAATGATCTAAAACATTTAATAAAATTTATTATATTTAAAATTTCTCAAATTTTTTTCTTCGTGAAATATTTTACTATGGACAGATATTTACACACTAAAAATTTTAATTTAATAATAAAAATTGCTATTAGTTAGAAATTATAATATCATTCATAGTTTCCAATCTAGCCATTTCTTCACGACAGTCAAGAGAGTTTTCCTTTAAAGAGCAAGTTTTAATATTTTATATGCAAGATAGTTTGGGTCACTTTGCAGGAGAGAAAGTCTACCAACCAATAATTAAGTCACATCACAACAAAAAATTATTTATACAAGACTTTAGGTAACAGCGACACGAATTGGTCTGCGGAGATTGCTACAGAATTGTTTATATGGTTCATTAAAGTACCATAAGTGCTTATATGGCCCATAAAAATAAATATTATAAAGTGTGTGCGAAGAGATAAGAAGTTTAAGGGAATAAAATATAAATTGTTTTTGATTGTTGTTGTTGTAGTTCATTTACGTCGCACTAGAGCTGCACAATGGGCTATTAGCGACGGTCTGGGAAACATCCCTCTGGACGATCCGAAGACATGCCATCACAATTTTGATCCTCTGCAGAGGGAATGGCACCCCCGCTTCGGTAGCCCGACGACCTGCACGCGAAGTCGAGCACTTTACGGTAGAACAGTTTAACGAGGACCAATGCCGCCCACCCTCGGTCCCTGCGCAGACTGATCCAAGTGGTTACCCACCCGCACACTGACCGCAGTCAGTGATGCTTGACTGCGGTGATCTGCTGGGAACCGTGTCTTAACGATCAGTTCACTGCGGGACAAAATTGTTTTTGAAGAAGTCTATGTTTTTCAGTTAAATTGGATGCTTGCAAGCGACGTTACGCGGGGATCAGCCAATCAGGTTCAGATCCGTTGGCGCATCCGCCGATGTTTTGTGTATTCAATTTTATGTTACATTTTGTTTTGTTGCACAAAAACTATTAGATTTAAAAGCTTAAATTTACGAAGATGTGAAGAAAATATACAGAAAGTGCGAGGATTCAATATTTAAAACATTCCATAATTTTTTCGATAATTATTACAAGTTTAACAGTTAATAATTCTCGAAGCAATTATGGAGTGTTTTTTTGTTCGATCATACTGTGCATTCTTCTGCACACCTTTGTGAGTTCAGGTTTTAAGTCTTATACTTTTTGCTCAGCAAAACTGAATGCAATGTTAGTAAATTCGAATATCCAGAACAGCAGCGGCAGAGGGGCTAATGTTTTTTTTTTTATTATAGAGAGAAAATTAGGTAATTAAAACAAATAAATACTACAAAAGGTGGGGGTATACCTTCTGCTCATCACTGTCCCCTTCAACAAGGGCCGATAGAAACAACAATAAATAGATTTTGTTGTAGCAGTAGGCCATTAAAACAAAGGGTGCAATTGTTCTTGTTTTCCAGTGGCGCCATCTATGGCCAAGAATTCGACTTCCGCCTCACCCATGCGTCATACCCGTTTATAGGGTTGACTCATTCATATATACATTCATTCACCCATGGATGGTAATTTTGATCTGAACCAGAGAACGATCAATCTCCAATTCAGTACCCCCCGAGGTATAATTTGCTGTGGAAACATGGAGGACTTTGTGACCAGACAGATTTAACTTACACCAGTCACCCTTTACTACACGGGCAATTTGCGGCCGGCTGGATTCGAACCCCCGTTCTCGCGAACAGGAGCTTAGCGCCCTGGCTATCCCGGCACAATAAATAGATGAGAAGCAGATATTCTTTTCAGATTTTTTTCGTGATTCTAGTTGGGTTCACTGCTGATTGGATACTAATATATTTTAATCTATTTTCTTATGAATGGTGCACGGAAAATAGTTCTGGTAAAATTAATGTACTGTATCGTAAAGACTTAAAGATTAAAAAAAAACGCTTCCATAATTCTAGCAAAAACCCAAAATATGCGGTATTTTAACCATTAATATAGCAATAATTTCCCTTCGTGTGGTAATGGTTTACTGGAAATTCTGGTTTTAAAAATTACAATTCTTATTGCCACACATTTGTTAAAAAATATAAAACGTAAAAGTAAATTTTACTGAATAAATGGTTTTATTGCTATCCTTTAAGGTATCATAATAAAATTTCCAAATTTTACCAGATTTGCCTAAGTTTAACACATATTCTAAAACAATATTTTATTGTTAATTTCAAAGTCATTACCAAAACCGTGTATTTTGGTGTTTCCATAAAGACGGAAACACGGTGAATTTTACCATATTTTAATAGTTAAATACAAATATTTTAATTTTATTATAGTATTGAAATACAACACAAAACAAATTATTATTAATTGTGTTGCATTAAAATATAACACAAAAATCAATCTTACAATCAATCAACTGAAAATGAAACTTCCTTTGAATTTCACAGCTATTTGTTTCGCAGAAAATCGCAATAAATTTCAAATAAATTTCATTATTTTCCTCAGATGTTGTAGTATTTTATAACCGTCGTTGAACAGCCTATCCAATTTTGCGTTAACGACAAGCAATGATCAGTTCCGTAGCCTTGTAATTTTGAACCCGCTCTAGAAGACGAGGGTAATCCTGGATCAAGTATTGGGAGAAATTTGCGATCCTGGACTTTTTGATGGAACTAACCCGCATTTGTGTTGCATATAGAGGAAAACCAGGGAGACCTCCCACGATTAGGCTGACAGCAAGGGGACTCTAACGCATGATCCGTCTACCACTGAGGATATTTTACGTCAGCACTGTTGTCAGTGCGAGCCGCGTGCAGTATTTGTATCGACCTGCCATCGCTGGGATTTGAACCCGGTTCACCTCATTGGAAGGCGAACGCTCTATCCCCTGAGCCACCACTGCTCGATATCTTAACTAAGGTATTTGCCATTAATCAATGATAAGGTACTTTTCGATAAGCTGAACGCAAGCGAAAAGTTGTCAGAAAATATCGATCTATGCCTACCATTTTTATTTTTTTTAATAATAATATTTACTTTTTTAACCACATAATATGAATAAAAAAAATAAAATAATTAAAAATATTGTTGAATTTCCTTGCGCCTGGCTAACCAAAAAGTATTGATATATTATTTAAGACACATCGTTTTAACAATTAAGATTGTCTTCAAGTACTTGAAAATCCCGTTATTCCTTCAAAATTATTTTTGGCGATATTTTTCGTTTAGTGGAGTTTACTGCTTCTACTGATTCTCCAATCAAAATAAATAAAACTACATTGAAGGTTAAAATATTAATTGTCTTACGGTTCAAGCTAGCCAACCGTTTTTTTTTTTAGATGATCAGAAGAATGCATTATACAATAAGGAAATTACTTACTTAGTAGAAAGTTTCTCAACTCCAAATTAAAATGGGAAACAAGAAAATAAAAGAAAAACATCTAATTAACCTTTTCGCCAGCGCAAGTAAATTCAAAATTTTTATTTAATTTTTTATTTAATCAGATTGAAAAGAAATAAAGAAAACAAATGAATTTACTTGGAATACATTAATGATTTTATCGCTTCCACCAGCGAAATGTTTAAGTTTCGAAAATAGTTAAGATAGGAAAGATTTATGCTTTTAAATAAAACTTAACACACGAGCAGGTAATAAGTTTTTTAACAGAAGTATATAGACTATTTGGACAATTGGGTATAATATGAAAAAAACACAACTGCTTCCACTTCGAAAATTTTACTAGGAATAACATTTACCTTTTTGTTTAATTAATAACCTGAGTTTTAAATATGTTTACTAAATTCGTAAACTTAGATAAAACAACAAAATAAACTATTTCAAAAGGAACTAGACTTAAAACAATTCCAACCTGCCGAGTAGCGACTTATAACAACATACTTCATTTAATGTTTACTTGTTGCTAGAAATCAGGTTCGCAGAAAATGCTGTTTACTAGTTAAATTTAGTAGGAATAACACGACCTGTGACGTAGGCTATAGTATACCCAATTTAAAAAAAAATAAACTGAAAAATTATACCGACTTTTATTCAAAATTTTTTAATTTATTTACTAAAACTCTAGTAGGCTCATATTTGTAGATTTCAATTGACTGACAAAGTACAGCGTGATGTATGAGTTTATAACTGATTTAAAAACTATTAAACTAAAGGCTGGACTAAGCTATTCGTCAAAAGCAGCAAGTAAAGAAATACAAAGACAAATTTGTAATCAAAATACAATTAGCAGCTCTTAAATATTAGTCAGATTTTTTTCTTCTCAGAAGTCATGTACTCCAGCCGATTTGCTTTATGTTGGTAGAGGTATATATAGTTTCAGAAAATTTAAATAGCTTCTTGGCTGCTAGTTCAAGTAATTATTGTTCAAGATGGATTTCTTAGCACACATGAAGAAAAGTGACGAAGCTGATTCAAAAGAAAAGCTAAAGGAAAAACTAGAGCAAGCAACTAAAGAAAAATCGCTAACGAAAACGTCAGAAGAAGACCTAGCACATCACGGATTTAAAATCGGAAGAGTTCTCGGTGAGGGATCCTATTCTGCTGTTAGGTGAGCTTTTTATCTCGGAAATCACAAACAATATTCACTAATAACCAACTGGCCAGTGTAGGGGTCCTGGCATTGCATCAGAAAGATTCTGAGTTCGAATCCCTGGAAAGGCATGGATATTCTCTGTTCTATGCGTCCTTACTGTGGGAGCAACACTGGCCCACCTAATATGGTGCCCCTGAAAGAGTGGTCAACAAAATTTGCCCTTTAGATGCCTGTATGACGAAAGGTCATTCTCCAGGTGTGCGTTGGAAATTTAAATTCCCTAATATATAAGAAAGCTATAAAAATATTAAGTATAAAAGGATTTCTTTTATGTATCATAAGATGCGATAACAAATTGGGTTTTGCTGAAGTACAGAGAGAAAAGAAAAGAAACTAAATGGACCATCCTTAATAAGTTTTTGTATATTTTACATATAATTATCGGGTCTTCCCGTTCTAGGACTCAACATTCATGGTTTGAAAGGGGGCCCTGAAGTATACTAATTAAGTATACTATTTTAAGTTACAAAATCAGAATACAAAAAAATGCTTTCTCTGAATAAACATAGCTTTTTTCCGATGAATTCGGATCTCTAAAAATATAGGAAGTAGCCGCAATCCAGTAAATATGGTCGTAAATTAATAGTTTGGTCAGGAGAGCGATCCAACGTTTGGTCCTTTTAATGTAAATCTTACTTTTTCCGAATTTTAACATCTCTCGATAACTTTCAGAACAAGTTGAAAAGGTTTTGCACGCAATTATAAAATTCGCTCATCTAAAGATGATTCTGAGCAAAAAAGTATTTATTATTTTATTTAATAATAGGCTAAAATTTTTGAATTGTTAGGTATACAATTTCTTATGTGTTTTATAATGCGATTTCAAATGACAAAATAAAAACCTTGAGCGAAATAGGTTAAATATTTCCTGAGAATTCGAATTTTTAAAAAATCGTATTTTTAAAATTCGATTCAAATCTGTCGAAAGAAGGTATGTTCATTTAGAGAAAGTATGTTTTCCAGTCGGATTTCGTAACTCAAAATATCGACTGTAAAAATTAATTAGCATATTTGAGGTCACCCCCTCAACCATTAAATTGAGTTCTAAAATGTGAAGATCCCGTCATTAGATCAGAAGCTATCTGGGGTGATCCGTTTCTTTTTGATTCCCTTTTTTTTTTAATTTTTTTTTAAATTTATAATTCATATAAAATGATCCAATCTGAAATATAAAAATCAGTATTGAGCTTACACACACTCTTTTAACTACATGAGTTCATCCTTTTGTTTTGAAACTTTTTGAGTTATATAAATGCAATAATAATATTTGGTTTCAAAGTTTGACTTTAAAAAGGTAAATAATGTAAAAGCTCAAAACAATTAAACAAAAGACTACTATGTAAAATGCGTTAAATAGAAAAATTCGAGTGCAAAAAATCTAAAGTATTTCGAAACATCAAATGCATATATCATTATAATTTATCGCATTTTTTGTAATCACTACTTTACTAGGCAATACATATGGTTTCCTTTTTAAACGTTGATTAATTGGTCTTAAAACTCTAATGTAGTTTTTTTTGCTTCTTTTAATTTCTGCATGCCATCAAGCCCGTGTGGTTGGATTGAGTATTCGTCTAACACTGCTTGGGTCTGGCTTCAGTCAAGACTGAGGTCGGATAAGATTGAACTTTGTGTTTCGGAATTAATTTTAATGGCATGTATCCAGTGGTTTCAGAATAGAAAAAGTTCAAGTATGGGTGAGCAATTGGATAACGTGGTGTGGAGACCCAGAGATTACCACTGTCATCTGCCCTCTCATCTAAATTCTGTGTAGAGTAGTGTGCGCATACACAAAATATGGTGTTCCGATCATCATTAAGGGTAATTTCCAGATCATCGTCAGTAGCTCATGAGTTAAGTTCTTCAAGGTCTGTTTAGGTCTTAAAAAAACTTAAAGTGTGGTAGCAAAAGTAAGAAAATAAGTTACATTTTAGTAAGTTCGAATTCTCTCACTACTATGCAAAGAATTTTAAAATAACTACTAATTTAAATTTGAAATATAGGGGGATGTTGGAAAATAGGAAGAAGCATGTGGCATGGGGAATCGGACAAGCTCGTTAGAAGTGTGATCTACTGCTGTTGTTGTTGTAGTTTATTTGCGTCGCACTAGAGCTGCACACTAGGCTATTGGCGACTGTCAGGGAAACATCCCTGAGGATGATCCGAAGATATGCCATCACAATTTTGATCTTTTGCAGAGGGGATGGCACCCCTGCTTCGGTAGCCCGACGACCTGCACGCGAAGTTGAGCACTTTACGGTAGAACAGTTTAACGAGGGCAAATACCGCACACCCTCGGTCCCTACGCAGACTAATCCAAGTGGCCACCCACCCTCACACTGACCGCAGCGAGTGATGTTTGACTTCGGTGACCTGCTGGTGTGATCTACTGCAGTTGGCAGCTTAAGATGAGAATGAACTAAGCTACTCTGCTTTATGCCATTAGGAAAGAAAATCATATCTATGGTTGTAGAAAAATGCACTTTTTTAAATATCCTTTTTTTCTCTTTTTTTACGCTTTCCAAGTTTTAATCATTTCATTGATTTATTGTTTTTCTTATTTTTTTTTTTAGATTTGCAACTTACAAAGGGAAAGAAATAGCTGTGAAAGTAATTAACCGAGAAAAAATTTCTCAGGATTTCACCTCAAAGTTCCTTCCTCGTGAAATTGAAGTCCTGAGTAAAATTAAGCACAAAAACATCATACATGTTTTTAAAATCTTCAACTACCCAAGAAAAGTTTATATTTTCATGGAATATCTCGAAAGGGGAGACCTTCTTACGTACGTAAGGGTACGTAACACACAGCTCTTGCAATAAATTTAATCAATAATCTCTTTATGTTCTATACCAAATTGGAATAAATTATCATTCATATTATTATTTGTAAATGATCTCAGTTTTTATCTAACTCTGCATTGCACATGGAAATGTACTCTATTCCGATTTGCCCCGTTTTCCGTAATTCATCATGCTTTTCCCTTATTAATTTCTTTTATATTAGTTATTGTTTGTAAGTAGAAATTATTCAATTCTAAATTACTGATTTCTATTTTATATTGTCTCGTAAAAATAAATTTGCCCTTTCTTATGTGTATCATATCCTACTGTAATTATAAATTTAATTTTACTAAATAACAAAAACGGTGGTTGGTGGCCGCTATTTTATTCTAAGTAGTTTAAAAGAACATTCTAGGTGTTCCACTGCACGAACACGGAAATTTTTTAGCGTGTACAAATACGCAGGGATGTGATTTAAAACAAACATTTCTGAAGAATTGCTTGTGCCGGCTAGTATGTTGATAAAATGGAAAAGCTTTCCTTTTTTAAGAATTTATAAATAAATGTACAACTACAGAACTTCAAATTTTGCGAACCGTAACATAATAACGCACTTTTTTTCTTTCAAATTTTAAAGTAAAAAAAATCGTATTTTTCATCAGAACTAACGTGAATATTAAAAACTAGTGGGCGGCTCCCCCTGCTCGCCAACCTCCGAAAATTGCTACGCAATCTTAAATGGTTTGCTTCGAAAACCAAGCTCGCTTCTCTCGCTACTAACTTAGGTACATTGCAAATGCACAAAATTCTAAGAATTCAAAACAATCATTCAAATCCATATAAAAACTTTTTTTTAAAAAAAAATTACATCTTTTTAGTAAATACTAAGTCATTAAAATAAATTTGAATTCAAATAAATGACATGTAATTCGTTAAACCTATTAGAAATGTGCTATAGTATAAAATCTTAAGATAAAATTTCTAAAACTGATATCTCTTTAAAAAGGTTAAAATTTTGGCTATAATTAAGTCTATTAAAAATTGAAATAAGTGAATTGCAATGGAAAAACCTGCATAAACAAATAAATTCTAGTAAAACAAATAAATTCGTGATATAAATCAAAAATCGTCAAATAAATTCGTGAAAAAAAGCGCTTTTGACAAAGTACTAAAATAGAGATCTATCGCCAAAGACTACTCACTTCTGCCTAGCTTAATAGTATGAGATTGCCGCAGCTGATAGTAATTTTTTTTTCTTTAAAAGCGCTATATGTTGAGCCACCTGAGCAAGATTTGGCATGTGACTTTTTTAGCGGCAATCATTGGTTGATTTCCAGCGTTGCCATCCGGGGAGTTGTAATGAGGCTTTTTTTTTGTCGCCGTGTAAGAGAAATATATATATAGATTTTATGCATCTCAATCTCATTGTTTGTTGTATTAGATGGACCAGACTGTTTTTGAATTTTTATTTTGCCTGAAAATTCAAATGATGAAGGACAGTAAAATGTTTACCATTAATTTTTTCCTTGTATTGAGGGCGTAAATTCTCAAGCAATTTTGTAAGTCATGGAAATATTTTTATACTGATTTTGTTCCAAATCAAGATCCTGAGCAGTTTAAATATTTTAAAGAAAATTCCGAATGTTCCAAAGAAAATTATTTATTTATTATTGGATAGAAATTGAGCTAATTGGTATATTTTTGAACATGAATAATTTTTGAATGTACATATATTTATTAATATTGAAATTTTATTGTTAATGTTGTTTTATTGCACCCAAAATGTGTACATAGTGTTAACCAAAACAGACATGAGTCATGATCCAATTTAGTATGAACCCAAATTGGGTAATCTAATACCTTTCAACCCAAATTAGGTTTTTTTTCTTTACCCATTTTAGCTTTTAATTTTTTCTGTGTACATACTATTATTCATTAGTCAGTTGTTTCGGTTCAAAATCTAGAGTTTGGGCAAAAGGAAGGATTTCGATTTAAATCAATTATTATTATACATTATTAAATATTATAAACATTATTATTATTTTGTTTAAAAATGTATCAAAAACTAAAATAAAATTTGCCTTTACATTTCAGAAAAAAGGATATTTGAGCGAGAAAAAAACAAGACACTATTTCAAACAGTTGCTGGCAGCATTGCAGTATTTACACAGCCTCAATATTGCACATAGAGACCTCAAATGTGAAAATATTATGCTGGATAATGAAGATAACATTCGATTGATTGATTTTGGATTTTGCAGAAGCACAGGTATCTAAGTAAAATTAGTTGCGAGAATTGTATTAATGATAATTATTATTTCGTTAATGTAGGATTTCTTAACGGAACACGATTGTATTCCGGTTCCAGTAGACAAATAAACTGGTTTTTGGTGGTTTTAATGCCTTCTTTACTCTTTATGGCCCCCATGAACTACGTAAACGAGGCGGAGCCCCTGAACTGTTTACGTTTTAACGTTGTTTCCATAGATATTCTATTCTATGCTACTCTTCTATTGACTGACGTAAGTGGCAGTACTGGCGCAAAATATCCTCAGAGGTAGACGGATCATGGGTTAGTCTCCTTGCCATCAGGCTAACCATGGGAGGTTTCCGTGATTTTCCTCTCCATGCAACGCGAATTTGTGTTAATTCCATCAAAAAGTAATCCACGATGGCAAATATCTTTCAATACTTGATTCAAGAGTTCTCCTGTCTTCTGGGGTGGGTACAAAATTACAAGGCTACGGAGGTGAACGCTTGTAGTCGTAAACCCAAAATTGGGTCTGCTGTTCAACTACGTTTATAAAATAAAATACATATGGAAGTCTATTGAAAGTATGTAAAGTATTGAAGACATACATAGGTATAGAATTCATTCAGCATATACATAAAGCTTCCATTATATGCATGCAATTAAATATATATTGTATTCTTTGAAAATTCTTATTGAATAAAAATAATAGAATAAAATCTGTAATCCCATTGCCTTAAGGTAATTTTACTTCAGGAAAATTTACCATACTTGAATGATAAACGTGCTGTATGTTTCTCATTTTAATATTCTTTCTCATTTTCTCATTTTAATATTCTTTCTCAGTTTCTCATTTTAATATTCTTTAATATTCAATGTATTCTTTGAAAATTCTTATATAATAAAAATAATATAATAAAATCTGTAATCCCATTGCCTTAATCCCATCTGTAATCCCATTACTTCAGGAAAATTTGCCACATTTGAATGATAAACGTGCTGTATGTTTCTCATTTTAATAAGTTTCACTTAATACTTTTTCTAAAATTTTCTCAAAACTTAATTGTAAAATTAACAACAAAAAAAAACTTTAATTTCATATTCTGGCTTTTCCTTGAAAGGAAATGGAATATTAATAAAAAGTTGAATTTTAAATAATGGTTTTGGAATACTGTAAGTATTTCCAATTTTGCAACTTTTTTAATATTGAATTACTTGTAAATTATTTTAATATTGTATTCAGGCGAATCAGTAAAAGGAAGATTTACGTTTGAATCTTTTATCCATGAGTTTAAAGGCTGGTAATCAAAAGGACCAATGAAGTTTGATACAAATTTCTTTTTTTAATTACTACGAAAGGAAAGTGAACTTTTTTTATTTTCTGCAGTCTCTGGTAGTGGTCGAAGACTACTGAGCCAAACGTATTGTGGCAGTACAGCATACGCCGCTCCTGAAGTACTGCAAGGCACTCCGTATAATCCTATGTTGTATGATGTGTGGAGTTTGGGTTGCGTTCTTTTTATAATGGTGACAGGAAGTATGCCCTTCGATGACAGTAACGTCAGAAAAATGGTCGAATATCAGATAAAAAGAAAATTAAAATTTCCTGCAGGACGTCCTATAAACTCTGATGTTAAAGTAAGTTATGAGAAATTTTTTCCATTTCTTATATGTTACGGGTTCCAACCTACTGCTCGCTTCACTCACCAACTCCCATGATTGATTAAATAACTTTTTGTTTCACGACGATAAATAAATTATTACATCCTGAATAAATAATATTCAATCATAAAATCGTAATAATTTTCCATGGTTACTATTGCAGCTTCATTTACAATTTTGTTTTTAAATTTATTTTTTAATTTTTTTAGTCACTAAAGAGAAATCCCTAAAAGTTTTTCTAATAATGCAAAACGCTAATTTCTAATATTGTTTTACTACTTTGTAATTATTATTTTGAATGAATATGGTGACAGAACACAGTTTAAGTCAAAACAAAGCTTAATATTTTCTTTCTTTTCGCTTATTGTAAAACGGTTAACAATTTTAGATGCTGATTTAAATACATTTGTAATTAAACTTTGCGTTTCAAAGTAATATCAATTTATTACTTTTTCATAAAGAAACACCGAGAATAGCTTTTAAGCCTTTAATTTAAAATATTAATCAAAATAACGAACGTAATGATAGCAGAGAAGACTAAGAATGGATGATAAATAAATATTGCAGGTAAATACCTTTAAATTCGATGTGAAGAAAATTTTTACAGGTAAACAGTAGTTTCATAATTCTTATTGATTTTACGCTGAAAACAACCTAAGAAATCTAAATCTTCATGTTAAAAATAAAATAAAAAATATAAAAAAAATTTAAATAAAAAAAAACGAAAAAATGGATTACAACATGTGATTTTTGGGTCAAAAACAAGACAACAGTCTTATGCCATGCATTTTTATGTTAAATAGAAATATAGGAGAAGGTTGCCATCATTGGGTATTAATTTTTGACCCATAAAAACACGTTTATAAAGTTTTAACCTTGTTAATGAAATTATTATCTTCCATACTGCCCATACCTTGGCATATAGACGTTATAATTATAAAATGTTAAGTAAACATTGGAGAAATATAAATAATTGGGTCTAATGAAGGAAACTAGTTGCCTTTATTAGGTAGGTAGCTAACTGAATGTTTTGATAGAATATCACCTTAATATAAATTAGTAAAATGTTTCAATTTATGTATTATAAAAATGATACTTAAATATAAAAGGCTAATTTGAAATCAACATAGACCACAGAAAATAGATTAAAAAAGTTATGACATTCAGTGTCCGTCTAGTAGGGGTCACCTAATTATAGATATAATTAAGTCTCATATGTTTTTACTAAATCAGATACAACAGCAGTTTTTATACAGCTCGAGATATTAGCTTTGATATGATTTCCATAGGCGGACCACCAGATAATTCTTTGCAACTCATGTTGGCTCATTGAAAACAATAATCAATCGGTAATATGTCTGCGACTTCGACTATCAGATCATTCATAGCAACTCAAAATCGCTCATTGAAAACAATAATCATTCAGTAATATGTCTGTGACTTCGACCATCAGATCATTCATAGCAACTCATGTTGGCTCATTGAAAACAATAATCATTCAGTAATATGTCTGTGACTTCGACTACCAGACCATTAATAGCAACTTTAAATGGCTCATTGAAAATAATCAATCTGTAATATGACTGCGACTTCGGTTGTAACTAAGTATACAATCATTGTTAATATGGGTAAACAACGCTGATTTAACACATTTTTAAATATTTTCTGCAGCAACTAACACACTCTCACTGGCATCATTTATTTGCTCTTATAGAAAATTTAGATGAAAAGTACAACAATCGCACTTTCTTGCAAAAAATTTGTTTGAGCGAGAATTAACTTATGGTCTGAATAGAAATTTTCAAATCTCATATGGTTAGCCAAACAGTCAATTGCCGAATAGAAAACAACAGTTTATACTATAAACAAGTAAGTTATCATTCAAATCCAGTTCCGGTAAAAGACTTAGTGTGGAATATGGGAAATACAATCAAATTAGGCCAAAATTTGACCATACCCAGACGTTTAAAATATCAAGCTAGGACCAATTGGTATTGGTTTAGGGATGCTGATTTCCCATTGGGATTTGTTACCCGGATAAAAGCAAATAATGGTGGATATCAAATTAGAAAGAAAAAAGTTTTTAGTTTCCAAGTTTTTTCTTTCTTCGGGGAATTTTCAGCCCTGTAGTTGTTGTGACAGAAATTTACTGAATGCTACACTTTTTGCAAGAATTCCTCCTTGCAGTACAAAAAATGCAATTTGTGTCTGAAATAATCAATTTTGAGCTTATAACTTCAATCGTCATTCCATTCTTTGTAATCTAATTATAATGCTATTTTCAGAGCCTCATCAAGAACACGCTGGAACCTGATATCACAAAACGGATCAGTATCGAGAGATTGAGTCATAATGAGTGGGTGAAAAAGGATGATGAAATGTCAAAAGATAAGAAAAAAATTCATAGAGGATGGTAAAATGTCAAAGAATCGGATAGAGAAATTCAAGTTTCGCTTTCAACTAAATCAACTAGAAGTAAACAATGAAATCAAATCAGACCAAAATATATATTCCAAAAACAAAAGATAAGCTTGGACGTATAAGAAGACCGAGTGGGGCTGCTTCTTCGAGTTCATGTTGTTACAAACATTCCTGTAAATAAATATCTGTTTCTTAACATTAAGTTTGGAGTAATTGATATTATTTAACACGTTCACGCCGGGGTGACCCACCGGTGGGTCATGCTAGATTGTCTCATCTTGGCAGCGCACCGGAGTAAAAACTGGTTGTTATTGTTGTTAATTTACGTCGCACTAGAGCTGCACAATGGGCTATTGGCGACGGTCTGGGAAACATCCCGGAGGATGATCCTAAGACATGCCATCACAATTTTGATCCTCTGCGGAGGGGGTGGCACCCCCGCTTCGGTAGCCCGACGACCTGCGCGCGAAGTCGAGCACTTTACGGTAGCACAGTTTAACGAGGACCAATACCGCACACCCTCGGTCCCTACGCAGACTGATCCAAGTGATCACCCACCCGCACACTGACAGCAGCCATTGATGCTTGACTTCGGTGATCTGCTGGGAACCGTGTCTTATCGATCAGTCCACTGCGGGACAGTAAAAACTGGTAACAATACATTTCCTTTTTTAGTTTTTTCCGGGAATAATAAAAATCCATAACTACCAACTGTTTTTAACGGATGCAATTTTTATTTCGAATTGCTTCTTCACCGTGATAAATTACCTTGCAGTGAATTGTTATTGTTGAGAATAGATTAACCCCTCCCGAATATTATCTAATATTGAAATAGTTCTTCTACGAGTATTTTCTCTTTTCCCGGAGTAAACGTGTTAATGTTATAGAATTATAGATGTAAGTATGTAAAATATGTAACTAATTTCCATGAGATTTGTGCAGGGTCCTTTGGTGTTGTTGACGTTCATATCTAAAGGGTCAAACCTATGGTGACCTTTGAGAGACCACATTGTCGTATTAATTAAACTTGATAACACGAACCTATAGTTTGTTTTGAACTTAAACATGATTCAATTCAAATGTTGCAGTGAATTCGTACAGGGATATGGTTTAAGGTACCGAATATGTATGAATTTTCTGTTACAAAATCCTAACTTTGGCCGTAGATTCTTTTACCATGTAATGTAGAAACTGTTATTGGAAAAATGTTAGAATAAAAACTAGTACGCTCCAGTTTTAAAACAATGTAAACTACACCCAGAAAGCGCATTTCTTTTTTGACTATTAAGATTGATTGTTCAGTTTTTACCACCGGCGTTGACTCCTTGAATATTAAGTATGTTTTTATTAGACAACGCCCTTCTTGATGCATTTACGTTGACGAAATAAAACAACTTACTGTTAATATCTTAGAAATTCTCATGTTAATGAACTTGAAAGGAAAAAAAAAGTTTTTTTTTCTTTTCTTTTTTTACACTAAATTTCTTATTCTACACATTATTTTGAATTAAAATCTTAGTATATTTTATCTTAGAATGGAAGAAAAATACTTCACATTGGTTTTATTTACCTTTGACAAGTTAAAAAACATCTACGATTTAATGCTTAGGACAGATAAATTAAAAATATACTAAGAATTATATTTTAATTTTTGGATCATAACAAAACGTGATGGATGTCAATTAGAAACCTAAACTTAATTTTAAAAAAACACTGATGATTAGAATTTCGTTCAGATGGAAATGGGGATAACACAAGATATTTCCGCCATACGTCTCAATGTGTCTCAATGTATGTTTTCATTTATTCATTAAATAAATTTTCATTGTAAATTTATTTAATGAATAAATGAAAACATACATTGAGACACATTGAGACGTATGGCCATTGAGACGTATGGCGGAAATATCTTGTGTTATCCCCATTTCCATCTGAACGAAAGCACGAACTTAATTTTCTGTTTAATTGCTACAATATGTTGAGACATTCATATAACTATGTTTATCATGAAATTTTGCGTAATACGGTAATATTATAGGATTGTAGTGGTAGCAGATTCATCATAGTTTTTTGGCCGTTATCAACACGTCTTAGTTTGTAAAAATGATAATTGTCTTAATAATAAAAACGCCTGAACAAAATTAATTTGTTAATTATGAAAAATTGACACAATTCAAAAAAATATTATCATATTAGAGAAGAGAAATCCCTTAAAGGAATCAAGATTACATTCTCAACATCGAGAGTTTGTTAGCAAGAATAATAATAATATTCAACGGTTGGGACTGGGAGGCCCCCAAAGGGCACCCTTAGACGCTACAAATTTGAAATTGAAAGTAAATGTATTATTTCCCAACGGACACAGGAGAAACATGGATAATTGACAAATCCAAAATTCCTTGCAATCCAAAATTAGCGAATTATCAAAATATAACATAACCAAAACAAAGCCAACCCCGCATAATCAATATTGGGTTTGAAAATATTTTGGCGATCACGAGTCGCCAACAAAACTATGGGAATTACAATAACCCTGCAACTGAAACATATTTGAGATAAGAAATTAATAATAATAAAGAATTATAAATAGATTTTTGTTTTCGATTGGGCGTGGCAGTGAATTAATGAGTCTATATTAGTATTGAAATAAAAAGTTAGCCGTTGCATTGATCGATAAGAAGAGAATAAAATATTTTAAAGGTTAACTCATTGATTTAATTGAAATGTAATTCGATTAATATGATTAGAGAAATAATTTTAAGTATTTAAAGATATTTTAAAAGGTAGGAAATATGTAATGCCAATTCTGGCAATACAAGCATCCAATAAACTACCAGTAAAAATTTTTTTTTTGTATAAATAGAACTGTTAGTTAATGCGAGCTATAAACCCATAAAACTTATATTGATGCGACCATTTTATTTTATTTTTTTCTGATAAATAAGTAACTCTGACAAAGTCACTTACCTGCTTCCTCGATAAAGCTCTTCAATTAGGCAAATAAGAAAAAAAAAGCTTAACAAAAATAGAATATAAAAATTTCCAACAATGGATTTTTCTAAACTGATGTAAAACCAATGTAAGAATTAATGTTGTTTACTCAACAATCGGACACTGCATTGTATAAAATATGGTATCCAACCTAAAGCTCATTCAATATACATTCAGTCAGATTTTTTCATAACTCACAGAACTCATACAATCATTTTAAACTGCGTAAAATAATCAAAATGTTGTAAGCTTTTGTCACTTAACTGAAGTTAACTGTCACCTCCTGATATTATTTGAAATATTTTTGATAGTGATATGAACTTTAAAAAAATTATCGAACCTCTGATTAAAGAACAGAAAGTTAAAATTAAAGAACCTCTTACTGCTACAAAGGAAATAAAACCGAACCATGATGTTTTATCTTCAATTTTAACTGTAAAAACAAAACCAAAGAGCACAATTAAAGAGGATCTAAAAGAGGAAGGCTTTGAAATGGGCGAAGTTCTCGGTGAAGGATCATATTCAGTTGTAAGGTGAGTTACTTTTCAGAAACATAATTAAAAATGTAAACAGTCATTGTTCCATTTTGTTAAATTTGGAGGTAAAAAATCCTATTCTAAAATGAAGTGAGTTACTTTACAGAAGACATGTTAGAACAAGAAAACTATAATTATACTATTTTATTAAATTTGGAAGTAAAAGATCCTATTCTAAAATGAGGTGAGTTACTTTACAGAAGAAATGTTAGAACAAGAAAACTATAATTATGCCATTTTATTAAATTTGGAAGTAGAAGATCCTATTCTGAAATGAGGTGAGTTATTTTGCAGAAGAAATGTTAGAACAAGAAAACTATAATTATACTATTTTATTAAATTTGGAAGTAAAAGATCCTATTCTAAAATGAGGTGAGTTACTTTACAGAAGACATGTTAGAACAAGAAAACTATAATTATGCCATTTTATTAAATTTGAAAGTAAAAGATCCCATTCTAAAATGAGGTGAGTTATTTTCATGAGACGCGTGGGGACAAGTGAACTATAACTATCACATTTTGTTAAATTTATTGAAGGAAGATCATATTCTACAGTGAGGTTACTTTTCAAAAAACATTCGAGAACAAGAAAACAGTCAGTGTCTCATTTTGCTAAATTTGACGGAGGAGGATACTATTCTGCAGAATATTTGTATTTGTTTTATGTGTAGTGAGCAAAAAAAATAAATAAATAAACGGATCACCCTGAATAACTTTTGATCTAATGATCGGATATTCGTATTCTAGAACCCAATCCTGGTATCAAGAGAGGTAGAGTATCCTCGTAGAGTATCCTTAATGATTCGGAGGGGTGACCTTAAATACTCTAATTAATTAGTGTAGACGATATTTATATTTTTTGAAGTTATGAAATCAGACACAAAAACGCTCTTTCTCTGAATAAACATACCGAGTTTTTTTTACGAATTCGTACACCCGAAACATAAGGGACAGCCGCAATCTGGTAAATATGGTCCCCATTGTTTAGACAGAACAGCGATCCAAAATTTAGTCCTCTTATGCTAATTTATTTATTTATTATTTTTTTTTTTTTGTGTATTTCACCATATTTTGTGAACTTTTTAAGCGAATTGAAACATTTTTTCCACACAATCATAAAATTCGTTTAGCCAATGAAAATTCCATGCAAAAATAAAGTAGATATTTATTATTTTTTATTATTTTATTTAATAATATAGTCTAAAAAGCTTTGATCTGTAAGGTATATAATTTTAAGTAAAAAAGTCGTATATTTAAATTTAAATTTCTCGGGAACTATTTCGGCAAGTTTTATATTTTGCCATGGAAAATTACATTCTTTAAAGTGATGTAAAAAATTGCATGCCCTTTAGCTTGACTATTATTAAATAATATAATAAAAAGTATAAATATTTACTAAAAGTTATTTTTTCATGGAATTATTTTGGGGAAAACGAATTTTATAACTGCGTGCAAGCATTTTTCAATTCGTTTAAAACGTTTTTGAGATATGACGAAATACGTAAAAAGTAAAATTTTCATTAAGGGGTTCAAACTTTGGATCGCTCTCTCTACCAAACTATAGGGACCACACTTCCCAGTTCCCACGTAGAATCTCCACTCTGCAGCTATGACCAAAATAAAATTCAAAATATTGAACATGTTTTATTCTTCTGCCCTGAATTAAAGTCTCATCGTAGAGAACTTTTCAAACATGTAATCACTAGTGGACTACAATGGCCACCAAACTGTCATACTCTGATCAATACTGACTGTCTACCAATTTTTCAAAAGTTTGTTCATAATATTCCTTTTCATTNTCTCATCCTAGTGAACTTTTCAAACATGTAATCACTAGTGGACTACAATGGCCACCAAACTGACATACTCTGATCAATACTGACTGTCTACCAATTTTTCAAAAGTTTGTTCATAATATTCCTTTTCATTCTTTTTGATTTTACTTGTCTGCTTTTATATTTTATATTTGTATTTCATTTTGTATTTTTGATCCAAATTTGTTATTCTAATTCTTCAATGCATGTATTATAACTCTTGTTATTAAGCATGCTGAAAATAAATATTTTAAAATAAAAAAATGAAAGAAAAAAAAAACTTCCCAGTTCCCTATGTTTTGGGTATCAGAAATCAAAGTCCGTCGATAAAATCGTATATTTATTCAAAGAAAGATAATTTTTTTTGTCTGATTTCGTAACTTAAAATATCGTCTCCACTAATTAACTGACATATCTTATTTCACCTCCTCGAATCTATCAGATTGAGTCCTAGAGCATGTGGAATTGAAGATCCAATCATTAGATCAAAAGTTATTTACGCTGCACACACGCAAGTTTTTCAGCGATGAAATATTATGCATCTCAGAAACAAATTGAAAGAAATGTTATACTCCAGAAAATAATTGTTAAGCTCCATCTTGTCGAGTTCACCACGTAAAAGGAGGACAACCACAAATAATATGTAGTTCACAAAGTTTGTGGAGGATTACATATCATTGTTCGAATCGATTAATGTTATGTAATCTTGTTGGTGAATTGAATTTCTTGCTCGTTAGTACTTACAGGTAATCCACCTTACTCTGCCAATCAAAAGTGGTGCCAACAAATAAATTATCAAAAGGAAACGCCCTTCAAACAAAATATGTTGTTAATTGCTTAAACCATATAACTCTTTTTTATCTTCGAGGGAATGCATTTTTAGATTATTTAAATTTTTTATAAATAAAATATTATGTGGCTTGAATTTGCTTTCTGTTTTTTTATTTGTAAAAAAAAAAAATAATAAAAAAATGAAAAATAAAAAGAAATTTCTAGAATTTTTATATATAATTTAGTCGAATCAATATTTAGTTAAGCATTATACTTTAAATCAACCTTTCCTAAAGTATTTGCTAAAAAATTTATATTATTTTTATTTTAATAATTCTAACTGAAATTTCCTTTAGAGCTGCAACTTATAAGAAAACTGATATTGCTGTGAAAGTTATCGATCGAGCGAAAGTTTCTCACGATTTTTCTTCCAAGTTTCTTCCACGTGAAGTTGAAATTTTGAGTAAAATAAAGCACAAAAGTATCATAAGCGTCATAAAGATCTTCAACTATCCAACGAAAGTTTATATATTTATGGAATATCTGCCAAGGGGAGATCTTCTGCAACATCTAAGGGTATGTTGAAAAATGAGACATTTAGAAACATATGTGGCGTAACTACCACTACAAATATTAAATACCAAATCACTAGCATATAAGACATTTTAACTCGATTCTATCTTGAGGTACCTTTTGATAGATGAAGGTTGACATAGTCTATAAATAAATTCCTTCATTGGTGACCCGGACGTGATAAGAACTTGGCAATATTGATGGATGATCCACATTAAACAGTTGATTTGCTTAAAAATATACTGCTAAAAAACAAACAAAAAATTCAGTGAAGTAAATAACGTCTCCCGATCAATGAACAACATTGAAGAAAAAAATTAGCTAAATGCTATAGACAAAAGTAAGAAAATGATGAGCAAAATGCAATAAAAAAATGAAGAAAAAATATAATTAGCGAAATTGATATAAATATATAAACAACATCAATCAACTAATCGTTCATCGAATTCTATCACATATAAAATTCTGGCAGGGGAGTAGTGTGGCGTAACTACCACTACAAACATTAAATACCAAATCACTAGTATATAAGACATGTTAACTTGATTCTACCATGAGGTACCTTTTGATAGATGAAGGTTGACATAGTCTATTAATATATCCCTTCACATACATAACGATGTTATCAGAATATTTGTACAGTGTCAAATGAAATCAAAAATAAGTAATGTCTAAAGCTTGCAGTGACTTAATTAAATTAGTTCTTATAACCGTTTAAATAGTATAAACATTTTTTTATAAAGAAAATGTGCCAATTGAATTCAAAACATCATGTACTTTTCTTGATCTGTTAATATTGTCATCAATCCAGCCACGATAAGTACACGTTTTTTTTTTAAACTGCTGTTGAAGTATACCTGAATTAAGTTATATAATTCTCAAAAAATGATAAAAGAGTGAAATAAACGGCATATTGATAGTGGAAAATGTAGGTTTTTTAGGCGTAATTTTTTTATGTTCGTTACAAAACTTGCTAATAGATGTCACTGTCTAGGATTTAAATTTACAGATGGTGCTGTATGCTCATTAGAGTGCGAAGAAGTCTATGAAAAAATGCAGCACCAACTGTTAGTAAATTTTATTAGCATTTTTAATGAAAGTCTTACTAAATTCACTGTTTCCAATTATTTTATTTTCTTCTTTTTTTTTAAATATCTGATTGATTAATAGTTATTGAATTTCGAAACTGAATAATGTTTTGCCGGAGATCCTGAATAAAAATTTAATTTAGTACTGTGTATATTATTTCCTAGTTTCCGCTAATGAGGACATGCTTACGACTATTTAGGATTTTTTTAAATTTGAATTCTAATTCTTTTGGATTTACCCTGTAAAGACAAGCGAGTTGCTTTGTTATTATTTGCAAGCTAATAATTAACAAACAGAATCGTTATTTTTCTGCATTACTTTCAAATATATTGATTTAATTTTTCAAACTGATTTAATTTTTATGAGCTGTAAAATAATATTTTACTTTTCCATTTCGTCATCCATAAGTAATGTCAGATTTGTTTTATTAATATTTTTAACTCTTTCCCTTTTTTTTAGAGAAAGTATCACACTTAACCATCCTTATAGTCTCTCGCATGCCATCTATGTTACATAAATTTATGCTTACAGTACAGAAACCAGTACAGCGTTTTGGATTATATTTTAAATTTTATTTCTAAACTTTTGTCTAAATGTGATGCTTATGTGAAATGTTTTAACGAGATTTATGAGATTTAGAACTATAATTGCTATATATGTATTTATTTTGTTGAAGTGGAAAAATGAGAAAGTAAATAAAATTGAAATAAATTATCTAAAATTATGTGATTTGCTGATATTAAATGTTTTTATTTTAACTAAAATAAGTGATTTCGTGTTTCTAATTATGTCATTCTTTTCTATTTCCAGTTGTTTTAATTTTATAAGCTTCTCATTCTTTTCCCAAATATGTGTCACATATGGACTACCTCAAACACATCAATGACTCTTTACATTAATACTATAAAAACATTGTGCTTGCTCCTTATTCAAAGAAAAAGAGAAATAAATAATCCATTATTTCAAATGGTTCACGCTAAAAAAGAGATGCTAAAATCAAGAAAAATTATCCTTCTTAGCACATAATTATTTTTTAGCAATTGCACAGTTTTGAACTGAATTTTGGCCCACTGTAAGCCGTTAAACTCGAATTTAAGATTGTGGTTAAATTTTAATAAAGAAGATATTAAATTAGAAATTTAATATCTTTTAAGCAGTTGTTTTCAGTTTTCGTGTAATTTTTAAACAAAATTATATTTAGTTTTTGACTGAAATCATTCAGGTTGATTGATTATATTTCTTGTTTAATTATGAAAATACTAATGCTTAATCTCAGTATTTCGATGCTTTATAGAAATTTTGTCTCTGATATTGTTTCAAACTGCAATTATGTATTTTATATATTTTAGGAAGACGGGAGTTTAGGAGAGAAGAAATCTAAGCATTATTTCAAACAAATGGTGGGAGCACTTCAATATTTACACGGCCAAAATATTACGCATAGAGACCTCAAATGTGAAAATATCTTGTTGGACAATAAGGATGGCATTCGAATAATTGATTTCGGGTTTTGCAGAAAAGTAGGTAAGGGAACATATTAAGTCAACTATCTTATTGATTTCGTTAATTTATGAATCTATTCTTCTCAAAGCCTAAACTTATTCCATTTAAATGCACGTATATATATATATATATATATTTCGATTCTATAATAAATGAGCCGTAGTATACTTTCGAANTATATATATATATATATATATATATACACACACACACTCAAGAGTCAAAACATTATGACCACCTCTTAATAACGAGTTGACCCTCCTTTAACCCGCAACACAGCTGCAACCCGCCTTAGCATTGGATGCCACAAGTCCTTGGTAGATGGCCGGAAACAGATTGTACCAGATGTTTAAGCAACGGTCACACAAATCCGAGATATTGCGACTTAATGGTCTTTGAACTCTGAGCTGCCGTTCCATGATATCCTAAATTTGTTCTATCGGATTGAGATCCGGTGAGTTAGGCAGCCAGGACATTAACTGGAATTCAGCATCATGTTCCTGGAACCACTCCAACACAATTTCAGCCTTGTGACACGGGGCGTTGTCCTGTTGAAGAAATCTATTTCCATCTGGAAAAACAGAGGCCATGTAAAGGTGCAACTGGTTTGCAATGATGTCCAGATACCCTGTAGCATGCACTGTCTGCTCTACCACAACCACGTTTCCCAGAGACGCCCAAGAGAACGTTTCCCAAAGCATAATACCGCCACCATCGGCCCGTGTTCAGATTCCGGATAAATTCAAGCTATGATTTAAAAGTGCTTCTTGAAAAATATTCGAGAATAAAATTTCCATAATAAAGTAAGATTACGTGCTTATTAAGTACCTTATTTTTTTTTTATTTCAAAAAAATTAAAGTGGAGTTCTTGTTTTTCGCCAAAAAAAATAAATAAAAATGAAAGACCCACTTAATACTCGAAATACTCACTGTAAGAGTTGATTTAATTGTATTTCTTGATTGATTTCAGAGTCTTGCATATAAATTTAATGTTCACAAATAAGTTTTATTTTAAAACAACCTAAATTTCGTGTTTCGATAATTAAGGCAGTCTAATAATTGTAAAAAACTTTTATTGTCCAGTTTCAAGACCTGTCAATTGCACTTTTGGGGAAAAATATGTTTAATATATTCTCGTGTTATGCTTATTCTCCGTTTCAGTATAAACAATTGTTTTAATTTGAATTTGCATAATGCTTCTATTTCTAAAAAAAATTCCGAGTTAATATGTTAATTTTTTACCTCGTATCAATTTTAAATGCTTTTTCTAAATTTTATTTAACGGTATCTGATTACGTAAAAGATAAAATGAAGAAAAAAAGAAGATAGAAATGTACGCTTCTGGTCAGGAAAACTAGCAATTTATTCTCAGCGTTTCAAAGTTAGTTACAAAGCTTGGGAAAAGGTGGCGATAGTGATTGAGAGGGGATAAAGGCGTAAGCTATTGTTTTCAAAATTACTACCATGTACAGCTCATGTTTTATTAATAAATTAATTTACATTCTTGTAAATATTTCAGTTGGAATGTATGGTCTAACAATGCAGCAGAAAACACTGTTTTATATTTTTTTCAGTAAGAAGCATCATCTGTTCATAAACATCATTGAAACTTGGTAAAAATTAATCATCTGGTTTCCTAACGAGAACGCAGTTCACCACGAAGATATCTCCTTTCATTTTTAATAATCTACTTTTCAAATCTTTAATAGTTTTTGAAATGTACGTGGGGTATTCACTTGCTTAAAAATAATCATTTAAATACCGTATTAATTTTACAAAATTAAAATTTTGCGTCAATTTTATAAGTCAGATGCACAAGTTAGCAAATAGCGAAACTTATGGGAAAACGTATTTTTAAAGAATACAAGAATTCAATAAGATTAAATACTTTAAAAATAATGAACTAATCAATAATCAAATAGTCAACTGACACTAAATTCTTCAAAGATAAATATGGTATTTTCTTGCAAATTATGGATATTATGCTTATGACAGCTCAATATGGTTTGAGCTTTGTTAATGAAGATAATTTCTTGCTGAATAATGTCGTACCCAACACATTCTTGTTTTGGAAATCATCAGAAATTTGATTAGATGAATTGGATTTTGCAATATAAAGAAACAATACCTGAAGCAGAAAAAAAATATGACATGATATTGTAACTTATGCAGGTTCTTAATCATTCCTCTAAATGGTTATATTGTATAATGCCGTAATATGAATATTGCTAAATTTATTGTTAAAAGTAAAAATAAATAAATAAATAAAAATAAGAAAAAACAAGGGAGGGTCAGAAAGCATCAAAACTTGATTAATTATAGGAGAAAATAAAGAACGAGTTAACATGACTTTTCGAAGCTCTGTTGCTAAGGAAAATAAAAAAGCCACAGTGTAAGTGCCTTACATTTGAAGCAGAATGACGATTTTAAACTATTTGTATCATTTTGCCATGTAGAACTGAATTATCTGACCCTTAGAAAGAATGAATGAATGTTAAACTGTTTTAAAAATAGCCAATTTGGTGACATATTTCCATCTGGATGAAAATTATCAAAATGACTGCCTTTTTCTGAGTTTTTGCAAATTTTCACGAGTCCAGATTATGCAGTATTGGAGTAAGTTTTTAAAAATTAAAGAAGTTAGAAAACAAAAGCTTTTCGTTTCCACAAAACTGTGACTCAGATCCCTATTAATGATTTGTGCCATTTTCCGAATGAGCACAAACAGCGTTAACTTCAGATAGGCTAAACTTTTCTTAACAGTCATGGGTGACTGTTGGAGATAAACCGCAGTTATGAAAACGGCATATCATTCGCAAAAAAGCATAATTTCATATGACGACGAAGTCTTCCCAAAACAACCTTGTCAGATGAGCATTAAAACTGGCTTTTATGTTTTTTTCTAACGACTTTCTCTCGCAAGTGATTCGGCAGAGTTTCATAGCTTTGTAGGGGATCTACCACTACAAAATTACAATTACAATTCACTAGTATATAAGACGTGTTAACTCGATTCCATGGGAGGGTACCTCTTCATAAATGAAGGTTGATATTGTCGATAACTACATACCCCACATTGGTGACCTTCGGACGTGATGTGAACTCGCCTACGTTGGCAGAAACGCCCACTTCGATATGAACACGCCTATCTTGACAGTAACTCCCACTTCGATTTGTAACGCCTACTTCGATGAATGGTCCACATTGAACAGTTGAATTGCTACTTGTGACTGCGTCTCCACCTCCTCGCACTGTTGCTACTCAGTCTCGTCTCGATCACGCAAAACGTCGGCTTGCTCAACTCGACTGCTAGACGCAGGAAGGACTATACGATCGTGAAGTTAACACACCTCTCACATTCAGCACTCAAAAAGTACGGTGATCTTAATACAGCTCTCCCGGCTTCTCACAAAACAGCAATGAATCAACTAGTGGTATCCGTTCATCGAATCCTATCACAAATATAATTCTGGTGGGGGAGTACCACTACAAATTTACAATTGCAATTCACTAGTGTATAAGACGTGTTAACTCGATTCTATGAAGGGGTGCCTTTTCATAGATGACGGTTGACATAGTCTATAGCAACTTTCCCCACAGCTTTTTTGTTTCTTTTCGATTAAATATTGATTTTTGTCTCTTATATGTAGATTTCTTGACTTCATTTTGAATAAGGACTCTTAAAATATTAAGTGTGGTGATCATAGAAGTATTTTTTTCTTTATTTTTCGCAGTGACTTCTTCTGGACGAAGGGTTTTATGCGAAACATATTGCGGCAGCACAGCATACGCAGCTCCTGAAGTACTACAGGGCACTCCATATAATCCCATGCTTTACGATGTGTGGAGTCTGGGTTGCATTCTTTTCATTATGGTGACTCGATGTATGCCATTCGACGAAAGCAACGTTAGATTAATGGTCGAATATCAACTAAAAAGAAAAATCAAGTATCCAAGAAGAGTAACTGTCAGCTTTGATGTTAGAGTAAGTCACAATATTCAACACTTTTGCCAATTTTAAGCACAGCAAATATCAAGCGGCGCTGTTATGATGATTTTTATGCTGCGCACACTCTATATCTAGATTGGAGGCCCTCAACACCGACGACATTTTCGCATTCCATTGAGTTTCTCAATTAGTTAAGAACAATTTGTTACTGTAAATGAGCTAAGTTCAGTAAATGTTTGGATTTACCAATAATACATAGCATTTAACAAAGTGGCTAGTTATCGCTTAGGTTTTACCTCAAAGACTCGGTAAAAGTTCAAAATAGAATCATATTATAGTATAATTCTGATTTTACCAAGACAATTTTGGTAAAATTTTAGGTTTACTGATAAAACCAAAGATTTAACGAACTTCATGTTTTTACGTAACAAATGTTTAAGTCCGAAGTCTTATAAAACTTGGTTTTTACCTCAATGGCATGGTGGATGGCCGAAATAGAATCATATTAAAGCATATTTCGGACTTACCCAGGCACTTTGGTAAAAGCTAGATTTTACCGGTAAAATTAAGGATTTACCAGGCTTTAGGTTTTTCCGTAACAAATACGTAGATAAGAAAATGAAAATGTGCAAGAAAATTATGTTATATAATAACTATGTAATAGGAACAGATTCGCAGCAGATGATTATAAAAAAGAATGACTAATTTAGATCGTTAGGTGTTTTATTAAGACAGAAATAATAAAACGGAAAACAGAATTAGTCGCCAAGAAAAACCTGAAGAAAAAAACATATTGAAAAGATAAACGTTTTGGGAATACTTTAAAAATTGCAAAAACAAATATTTCCTATGACATTGATGTTTCATTGAACTAAAAGCTATGCCAATACTACACAATAAGATTGAACTGGCATTTATCTCTTTTGTGATGTAAGCAATTTGTTTTGTACTACAGTACTGTAGATATATATTAAGCATATCAATATAATCAGACCATATGAAATCTGTATCAGAGCATCTGTTTATCTGTTTCAGATCATGATGAAATGAATTGATTTGACATGCTTATTTCTTTCTTGCATATCGATATTTTTGTTTTATCGAAATACCGATATGCAAGAAGCAACAAAACGTAGTAACCTACACTAAAAGGATGTATTATCTCTCCCTTCCTAATAAATTTCTGTATTTTTGAAAAATCTGTGATCCTTGAAATTTTCCGAATTTACTGATGTAGGCCCTCAGGCGTAAGAAATTCTCCAATAGGCTTTCAGTTACGGTGATAAATTTAGCATGTCTTTAGACCCAGGACTCACGAAGACTACCGATTAGACAAAAATTGTTAGAAAAATATTTAGTGCAATACTCGGGAAGAAAGGATAGACCAACGTTGATAAGTTGAATTCCTAACGGGGATGTCATGAAATGTTGAACTCCTTCTTTTGATATCAATTCCGGGAAAAATGTAAAGTAATGTCCTCAGTTTGGCTGCATATGCTAATCGCAAGCGTCTCAATAAGGCAGAATTGAACGTTGCCATAACTGTAACCTGGAATAGCGTTGGTGCTTCTGCCTTAAAGGGATCGGTAAATAGTACACAATATTGTATCGCTTCCAGTCACATTTAAGTAATGCGGATATATTGGCTACTAATAAGAGTAGCTTTACTTCAGTGGGACAATTTTTTTCGTTTCTCTTTCACACATTCGATTGCTTCCTGCAATGGGGGAGACAGAAAGTGATCTATTTCCTGTAAATTTGTTTTTCTAATATATTTGTTTCTATTTCATAAGTTTTTTTGTGTGACCAGCTTGGCATAAAATTAAGGTGAATTTATTTCGTTGGGACCCTGCTTCCTTTGAATCCATTTAGAAAAAAGTATCTAACAGAAATAATATTTTGTTAATAATTTCATTTCAGGATATCATTCAAAAAATGCTGGAGCCTGATGTCACGAAAAGAATATCTATGGACAGGATAAGCCAACACAAATGGCTAACAGAAGATGATGAGTTATTAAAATAAATATATAAATACCTCACATAAAAATGCTACTTACTCTTCCATAAATAAAAAGCGAATCAGAGCAGATTAAAAAATACTTCTGAGAGATTTCAACTTAGATCAGTGACAAATTTTTGCATATAAAAGCGCTTGCAGATATAAAATGATTAATTTTTGAATAAAACCTTCCTGCTATCTGGATATTTTTGTTTTCAATCAAACTTACACCAAAACAATAATTAAGTTTGAAAGGATATTTAAAATTTCAAAATCATTTTCAATGCTTCAAAGTCATTGTGAAATATTTCTGTACAAAAATACACGTTCGTGCATGAAAAAGAATGAGAATGCATGGGAATCCATAGACTTACACAAAGATTTGCATATGTGCAATTAGAAAGCACAAATGGTTTGAGAAATAGCAGTAGATACATTTATTTATTTATTTTTATCGTTTTGAATAATCAAAAACGCTCTTTTTATATTTTTAACTTGGGTAAAACAACTGACTGAGATAATAAGCAAACCATATTCACCCAGTATTATTAAAAGAAAAGAAAAAAACATCAAACCGGAAGTTTCGCAGTTCTCCTCTGTCATCATAGAACGTCATTCATATTATCCAGAAGAGGAAGTTATAAATGCCTCTTATTGTACTGCCATCTGTTGATAATAGAGAGAACCATACCGTCCGAATAAGGCAAATAAAACCTCTTGGTGATCTTGAGCTGGTCATACTTTGTTTATCCTTGTCCAAAACTTTTTTTTTTCTATTTCCATTTCAATTTTTTACATCCCTTCTCACTCACTCTTTATTTCGGTATGGGACAACTGCCCAATTTACTATAAACCATTGGAAAGACAAAAATATTGACTAAAATGCTGTACAATAAAAATCTGATCTTCCATATTTTAGTTTATTATTCATTTTTAAACCAGTAGAATTTATTTGAATTATAAAGATCTTTCAAAAAACAAAAATATATCGAATTTTAATTTAAAATTTAATTTTTTGTAAAAGATTAAGGGGTAAACAATAGATTAAATTGGTACATATAAAAGAACTACGCAATTTTTATTATATTTAATTATTTATTATTTCTTGCTATGCTTTTTTTCAACTAAAGCCATAGTGTAGAAATAAAATTCCTTAACCTTTACAACATTATTTTTAAAACACGCGAAAATGTATGTGAGCATGATAAAAAGCAAACTAATGAAGCAAAATGTCACCTGCATGTGTGGCTCATTGCCAGTTAATTTTGAGAATGTCCTGCGTGAATAGATTCTTTTAAAGAAAAAAATAACTAAACGCTATTTTATGATTGAAGCATTTTGATTTAGTATGGTGATTCAGGATTTTGTGAAGTCAGAAGCTGCTTAAAAGAATATAACATTTTATTAAAAAAAAAAGACTAATTAAATCGAATTTAAAACGGTGCTTGATTTCTAAAGCATCTTTAAAAAAATGTTGCAAAATCACTAAATTATTATATTGTTATTTATTCATTCAAGCATTGCTTTCATGTTTTGTCAAAATGAATTAATAGTACAGAAACAGTACGATTATTCATGGTACTAAAATTTAGTCGAAAATTGAAAAGATCGAAGATTTAATTAAATACACATTTTTAAACATGTTATCATAAAACTGTATTAGTAGAGATTTAACAGTGCTTTAAAACATAATTTCAAAAGAATGTGCTACAATCTTAATACGCAGCTAATTTTAACCATAATTTCGCGTAATGCTAAATCGCATTAATCTCTATTACATAATACTAATGTAAAATTTAACACCTTTTTAAAATTGCAATAAATTTACACGAGATAATGGTTTAACTTGGAACTGATTTTTCTTCAAGTGTGTGAGTAAAATTATGATAATTATTGATTAGTTAGGTTCATGGAAATTCTATTATTTTTTTAAATTTTATTTAATATTTTTGTGTGTAAAAAAATAAAATAGAATTTGGCAGTTCTATAAAAAGAATTCTATAAAATAGAATTTGGTCTGCAGTCTTATGGCGACTTTTTGCTTGCACCCGGCTAACCAAAATACGAAAATTATTTAACAAAAAAAACTATTGTCTATTGTCATAAACTTAAATGTAGAGAAGCAAACATGGTGTTATATTTCGTCGAAAAGACAAAATAAAAATAAAGAAATAATACAACTTTCTTTAAGCCTAATAAAGACATTTTTAATGTTTTTTTGTTTAATTTATATTTTTTAGTGTTTATTATCACATTTCATTTTATGATGTAAATATATTTCATAAATTATTTCTATTTAGTGCTATACCATTTCTGAGAAAAAAAAGTTTTTAATTGATTATAAACTAGTATTCATTAAAATATATTTTTAGGTATCACTTTTTTTCGAAAAATGATATTTAATACTTAGTTTTTGATACTTTATTATTTCTTCGATTTTTTTAAATTCAGAAATGTTATTTCAAAAGCTAACAAAAGCATGATAATGAAAATAAAAGTTTGAATAAAACTAGCTTCTTAAGGAAAAATTCATAATTGGGTATACTATAGCCTACGTCACAGGTTGTGCTATTCCTACTAAATTTAACAAATGAACGGCATTTTCTGCGAGCCTAACTTCAAGCCACAGATAAACAAACGAAGCGTTTGATCGTTTAAATAGCTGCTCGCCAGATTTTATTGCATCATAAGGAAAAGTAATTGATATTCGATTTTTGATTAATAATTCATTTATGTGGATAGTGGCATAGAATTTAGCATTGCGTTACGGTAAATATTATTCCTTCTAAGTGGAAGTAGTTGTGTTTTTTTATATTATACCCAATTCCATTTGTTATGGAGTATTTACAAATGTCATGTGTAACACAATTATGGGGTTATGTGGAAATATTGGAAACTATTTAAGAGGTGGAGCGCAGGGAACCGTTGAGGATTTCAGATTGAACCAGTATGGCTATGAAATACATAATAAAGTTATTGGAAGTGGTTCTTTCAGTCAAATAAAGTAAGTACCCCTCTGAACAGTTTATTTACTATAATCGTAAAAGCAGTTTATTTATTATAATTGTCTTTATCATTCTTTTCCGGGAATGCTTAAATTTTCTTCCCCTGGTCTCAATTTACTGTTCCTAAATAAAATTTACTCAATTCCTTAGAAAATAACACATTTGTTATAGTGATTTAAAAGCTTCAATAATTTTGTTTTCGTTGTAGAGTACAAATTTTGCGCAAGTGACAAACATAAACGAAACACTTGAAAGGTCATCAGAAAATTTAAAAGATCTTCATTTTTCGTATTTAAATTCTTTAACTTTTGCATGCCTGGATACTACCGTGCAATTTTATTTTATTTTATTTCGTAACCGACGCTGCTCAGCCGACAAAATTTTGGGTTTACGTCTACCAATGTTCAACTCCGTAGCCTTGTAATTTTGAAACCAATATGGAAGACAAGGAAGCTTCTGGATCAAGTATTGGGAGAAATTTACCGTCATGGAGGACTTTTTAATGAAACTATCCAGCATTTGAGTTACATGGAGAGGAAAACTTAGAAAGCCTCCCACGGTTAACCTGACGGCAAGGGGATTCTTACCCATGATCCAACAACCACTGAGGATATTTTACGTTAGCACTGTGGCTGGTGCGAACCGAGTGCGGAAGTTGAATCAACCAGCCATCGTTGGTATTCGAATCCGGTTCATTTCATTGGAAGACGAGTGCTCTATCTCCTGAGCCACCACAGCTCACTACCGGGCAATTGGAAAAAAAAAGAAGAAAAAAACGTAACTTCCTGAAAGATTTAGAGAAAAACGTCTTGATAAATATTTTCATTCCATCGTGCAAACACAATCAATGCTAAAATTGAATTTTAGCAAACTATGAAGAAAAAAATTAATTTTCGAAAAATAATTAGTTTTGACATTTTACAGCTTACCAATTAGAGTTGACCTGTTGTTGACATTTCACTTACCTGTTCTCCTTCAAAATCTCATAGATATATCTTAAGCGGTTTAGTTCTAAAATTATATGTGTGCCAAAGCAACCAATAGCAATACGTTTCTATTGAGACAGGAATATGAATCTTCCAATAGGAATAATGACAATGGAAATTAATTGAATGATAGTGATTTACTGTTTTAGTTCAGCCACTGATTTGAACACCTCTATTAAGATGCGAAATGTATAAAAATCTGAATTTTATATATTTTTGTCACATATTATTACTGTTGACTATTATTTACGTCATTTTTTTCTTGCAGGCATTGCTCTTTTCATATATATATATAATTTAAAACTTTTTAAGTTTTTTATGGCTCATAAATAATCTTGTGACTATTTATGAACTTACTTTAGACATCGCTTCCAAAGGTTTGATCATTTCAGATATTAAAGTAAATTAGTAATTATTTTATCGCAATATTAAAACACAAAATAATATCAGCCTTTTTAAATTATTTTGAAAGCGTACTTCGAAAAAAAATTTTAATTTCTCTTTCGATTATATGTATATATATATATATATATATATATATATATATATTTATATATACACACAATAAAATGCAAAATAAATTTTGTTTGTTAGTGCTATAATCAAAATAAGTAAATTATTTTTAGCTGTTTCATTATAAACTGCAGAGTAATAACTATTTACTAAAGCTAAAACAGAACTAAAAAAGAAATACCCCTCTCATACAAGACTTAGTTAAGCCTAACCATATACCCACTTCACCCCACCTCAGAAAGCAATTATTAATAAATAGAATTTTAAAATTTATTCTTCAATTCTTATGTAGATAAGGTTTTTACACATTCCTCTACCAGTCTGAACTAAATGTAATAGTTTTTGTTAGCTTTTAATGATCTTAGAATCAAGTTCATCAGTAGTTCAAATTAATATACTGTATAAGTTTATCATAAACAGACAGTTTGTCAACATTAAATTTTATATTAATTTCTAAAACTGAAACAAAAATGCTTCCCGTAACCCCAATAAATGTCTATTTTCTCCTTTTAAATTGAGATATTATATGAATTATCTCAATTTAAAAGGGGGAAATGGATGTTTTTTACATTTTACCCTATATATACCCATTTTCCTCACCTGACTCTATCTTTTTTTGTTCCATCCAACGAAATATCTGAAAATGCATTGATAGGGTAAAAAAATTTATTTAATTAAGTTTTTAGTTGAAATTTTTATTTTTAATTGAAAGCTTTTCTAATATTACAGAAGAGCGACTAAAAATGGAGAACCTGTTGCTGTGAAGATAATAGATCGAGATAAACATCCTGAAATATTTGAAGAAAAGTACGTATTCCGAGAAATTAGCATACTGAGAAAGATACGACACAAAAACATCGTCGAGATACTTGAAATAGTGGAATATTCTCCAAAAGTTTTTATCTTTATGGAACTGATCGATGGACCAAATCTACGGGAATATATATGTGTTAGTAATTTATTCTTCAAATCTTTTTTATGGATATTTATTTTGTAGCGCATTTTTATAATGTATGCAGGCCCAAGAAACAATTCCTCTAAATTATTTTTTGCTTCAATAAGTTTTGTTAAAGAAAAGCATGAATAAAGCACAAAGCATACTATAGTTGCGGTTCTATAGACTACAATCTTTCTCAGTGTCTTAACTAAATTCATTTGCTAAATTTTATCACAGATTATTAAGCCATATTTTATTGCTATTACAAAAATCATTACAAAAACCACTTCGGTTAAAATTACCGATCTTTTTGTTGTTTCCATTAAAGTCAAAATGGCGGCAAATTTTACAATATTCTAGTAGTTCTGACCATATTTTTTCTCAGTGTAGCACATTAACTTTTAAATTGCTTAAAAAAATTTTTTTTTTAAGTTTTAATTGTGTTTCTTTACTCTGTTATGAATTTTTACTTTAATTTTTTTTTACTTTTTACTTTTATTTATTTTAAATTAATTTTTACTTTTACTAAACAGGCCGAAGATACCAGGTACAGCTGACTCCGGTAGAAACTTTTTCACCGACATGAACATCTAAAGTTTGAATATGTAATTGTTCGGAAAATAGAAGCTTTTAAAGGATCAAGCTCTTGAAGCAACATTTTTTACCTGACGCAAAATTAAGAAGATACACAGTTTTCAATAAATGATGACAGTTTTTTTTTTAAAAAATATATATAAAGAGGAAGGTTTATTATACTGAATATACTAAAATTATACCGATACCTTGGAATTTTAATCTCTAAAAGGAGATAAAAGTAACTAGAAGGAAAAAAACTTAAATCTTAAGAAACAATATTTAAAAACAAGTTTATTAAAAAGTATTTAAAATCTTTGGTAGTAATATCGATGAAACAAGCACTTGAAATAGAAAATATTTTCTTCCTTCTCTATGAGCTGCAAGATTTACGTCATAAATGTAAATTTTTAGAGCCAGAGGTCTACTCATATATTAGAATGCAGTAAGAAATAAAAAAGGCTGTACAGCACATGCTTGAAGCAACGACAAATGAAGTACCAGAGTTTAAATAGTTTAAATAATTAGTGAACTCTTCAGTTTCTTTCTTCCTTTTCAGTCAAAAAGTTTGCTAAAAAAAGTAGTCTAACGGTGCGCTTTTTTTTCTTCTTCTCTTTTTCTTTTAAAAAATTTCAGATTGTTTTTCAATCTTTTTCACAGGACATTATACTGACACCTTCGTCAAGGAGAAAAGAATTTGATGAAATTACCGTAATGTATTTACCATAAATACATTACGTTAATTTCATAAAAATTTCATCAAATTTGGCATTTCTGGTAAAAAAATCAACCTAATTCTGGCTAGACCATTCATTTGATAATTTTTTATTCATATGGTAACGGTTCACGAGAAATTATGGTTTTCAAAAATTATCATTCTTATTAACACAAATTTGGTAAAAAATACAAAACTGAAAAGTAAATTCAGCATAATAAAGGTTTTTATTGCACAATCTGAGGTAACATGATAAAATTACTAAATTTTACCACAGTTACCAAATTTTATCACATATTATAAAACCATATTTTTTGTAAATTTTACCAAAGTTATTACCAAAATGCTTCGGTGAAAATTACCGAGATATTTTTGTGTTCAGATAAATCAGACACACTGTAAGGTTTATCAAATTCTGGTTGTTTTGTTATACTTTTTTTCAGTGTCGCATTAATGAAAAATAATGTACCAAAATTTTTAAAAAAATTAAAAACTAATATTTTTTGAAGAAAAGAAACTATTAAGTAAAATCGTCTTTTTACGTGAGTTTTTATATTTTTAATTGCATTTATATTTATCTTATAGGACAATGGGCTAATGGAGGAAGATATGGTAAGAAAATTTTTCCAGCAACTTGTCGACGTTTTTGAATATTTGCACAAGAAAGGTATTTCTCACAGAGATTTAAAACCAGAAAATGTTATGATTCATCAAGAAGTTGAGGTTAAAGTAATTGATTTTGGATTCTCTGTACAACAGGGCAAGTATTATTATAAGTCATTTAGAGTAGTAATTCTACTGGATGTGTTTGTGGTTATATATATAATCATCGATAATCTTAATGCGTCATAAAAAGATAATTGCCGTCTTACTGTTTCGTGCATTGTCATTGATTCACAAAATCACATGGTATGGTCGTTGATAAGCATAGAAGATGCAGATGAAATTAGTAAAATTACTTGTAAATTATTTTTATCCCTTATTTACCTTTCTTTATTACTCCTTAATAATATTTCCTGCCAAAGTTGTATTCTTGATTTTGATCATTACTCAAAATCAGACAATTAAAAATGGCTTTCCTTTTTTTATAAATATATTAATTTACCGTAAAAAAACTACCGAATAATAAATAAGTCATAAATATTTTCACGAAAAATTATAAGTAAATTTGTGTCCACTCAACGCTTGCGGTTAAAATTCAATACACGAAAAAACTAGTTTAATTTGTAAAGCATTATTAGGCATTATTTCTCTCTACAGATCGAATAATATCTTTCATGAAAAACATTTAAGGAGTTCTAATTGTACTTAAAAATTAAACTGGAGTGTGGAACAAGTTAGTGGATCAAGTTATAATAGCAACTGAGGAAATTATTCGTCAGGTTTGATCCAAATGCAATCGGGAAATTGATCTGTGTCATCGAATTAAAAAATTTCGAGATTTTTGAGTTAAATTCTTTTCAATTTTGATGTGGCAATTAATTTACCTTCTGTTAAAAAAACGAATAGGTTAGTGAATTGCGAAAGTTGTAATTCTGACTAGCATCTACAAAATGAATATATGGCCATATAATAAATACATTGTACACATAGAGATAGATAATTGCGCATGAAAGATACGAGGCTTTTGGGTGCTATTGCTGGAAATATGAAATCTCGGAATGCTATGAAAGATAGAGAGTAATTAAAATTAGTAAGTAAAAGTAAAAAATCAATTATACACGCCTTGCGTGACGTTACAGTTTGAACGTCACGCTTTAAAACGCATTATCTTATGCGTTCCATTGAACAATAATATACTACATAAAGAGTCTTTTCGCAGTAAATTGAAAAAATATATATAATTTTTGCTTGTGTTTTACGAGGTCTAATTTGCCATTAACTGATTTGTGACAAGATAAGTGATATCTGTTATGACCTCGTAACATTTTAATAACACATATACCTCATTTTTATGACTACAACTGCTATCGTTAAACAGAACAAAATGGTTGGAAAAAGTAAAAGGGAAAAATACCTTTAATTGCACTAAATATATTTGGTGAACAATAATTTGTATGCGTTTCTTTTTTTTATGTGGAAAATGAAATATAGAAATGCATAGTTTTGATATAACTATATATATAATATATTAAAAGTACACAATTAATTTTTCTGAAATATTTGCCAAATAAAATTTTTCTATACATACTTTGTAGAACAAATTTCACACTGTTAGTATTTTCTTTCGATAATTACGGTAAAATAACTCGATGTCTATTCATTCAATTAATTGTTAAACTTAGGGAATTTTTTTTACTTTCACCGTTTTGAAACCATTTACAACTGATATGGTTTGAAAAAAATCATAAGTATCAAAACAAACGTTTTTTGTAACCATTTACAACTAGCACGGATTCATAACTATAAAAATGAAACTTTACCGGGCATGGAAGTTATGTTGTATTATGCTTTTTGTTAGGTAATGTGCATTTAAGTTACGTTAAGTTATTATTACATTGTGTAAAACAGCTCTATAGTGCTGCCATCTGTGCGTGATGAAGACATTCGTATTTCAGTAGTCCAGAGTCATGTAGGACGAAGGAATGTACGCATGCATTGAAGAACTGGAGGACATTTTGTGGTGCCAACGCAGGGATTTCAACCTGGGTTCAGCCGGCCATGAGATTGGCGGATTTACCCTCTTGGCTTAAGTGTACCTTGCTGCAAGGAACTAAGTGACTTCATAAGGTGTTCCAAATTTGGGGAAAAAATTCTTGTTTTTTAACAGTATTAAGTGTAAACCATTAATAAACGATTTTTTTCTTCATATTTGGAACAAAGAATACAACCAGAACAAGGATGGATGCAAAACGGTTATGGTTGTCTGACTGTTTTTGTTGAATACGACGGGGAAAAAAAAATTGTTAATTAGAATTTTTTCCGAGAAATTTCTAGCAGTAATTTTTTTTTGTTTTATGCCTGTTTAGGCAGTGGGGGTGCGATTGTTCCTATTTTTCAGTGGCGCCATCTATGGCCAGGAATTCGACTTCTGCCACGCCATTCACACAACCACAACCCGTTTATAGGGCGGGTCACANTTCTTCATATTTGGAACAAAGAATACAACCGGAACAAGGATGGATGCATAACGGTTATGGTTGTCTGACGGTTTTTGTTGAATACGACGGGAAAAAAATAAATAAATTGTTAATTAAAATTTTTTCCGAGAAATTTCTAACAGTAATTTTTTTTGTCGTATGCCTGTTTAGGCAGTGGGGGTGCGATTGTTCCTATTTTTTAGTGGCGCCATCTATGGCCAGGAATTCGACTTCTGCCACGCCATTCACACAACCACAACCCGTTTATAGGGCGGGTCACATTCACACACAAAGGAGAAAGGATATGGAACACACACACACACACACACACACACAGAGAAAAAGAAACATCCATGCCTTGCCCGGGATTTGAACCCAGGACATTTCTGATGCAAGGACAGCTCCCTGCCCCCTACACAGGTCGATGGGCTTTCAACAGTATATAGTATAAATAACAAACTTACAAATTTTTATGCTTTTAAATAAATAGAACTTATGGCCAAGTTGTAATGCGTTTATTACTAATTAAAATACCATTTCTCGTAATAATGTGTCGTTTCATACTCATTGATAATGTTGATTATAGGTGCGTCTGAAGACATGAGTTTGACGAACTGGGGTCGATCACCTTACACAGCACCCGAAGTCTCACAAAGCACCTATGATCCTTTGGCTTTTGACATTTGGAGTTTAGGTGGTGTTCTTTTCTTCATGGCGGCTGGTGAGGCACCTTTTTTATCCTCATCATCTGAAACACTGATTCAGGAACAAAGATCAAAGGCAATATCTTATCCTTCGACTTGCAAGCTTAGCACAACCCTTAAGGTAATTTTGCTTACACTATACCCATTCTCATCAAACGGATGTTGATTAATTAGATTGACGGTGTTCAAAAATTGGTTAAGGATAAAAATTAAACTAACAAAGTCACGAATAAATCATAAATTTCCCCCAATTTCCTAGTTGTAGCTCTCCCGCAGTGAAGTGATCGTTAAGACACGGTTCCCATCAGATCACCGATGTCAAGCATCACTGGCTGCGGTCAGTGTGCGGGTGGGTGACCACTTGGATCCGTCTGCGTAGGGACCGAGGGTGTGCGGTATTGGTCCTCGTTAAACTGTGCTACCGTAAAGTGCTCGACTTCGCGTGCAGGTCGTCGGGATCCGAAGGGGGGGGGTGTCATCCCCTCTGCAGAGAATCAAAATTGTGATGGCATGTCTTCGGATCATCCTCAGAGAAGTTTCCCAGACCGTCGCAAATAGCCCATTGTGCAGCTCCAGTGCGACGTAAATGAACAACCACAACATCTAGTTGTAGCTCAAACTTTTTCCGACAGATGGCGTTTTGGAAGAAAAAACCTATAACTCAAAGAAAAATATATAAAAATCATAACATGTCTTATAACGACGTGTTACCGAGTGGTTGATGATCACTTCAAAAGTATTGTATTGTGCTTTTTATTCAGTGAATGTTTTTTTAAAAAAATTGTGAAGTTAATTTCACTTTATTTTTTATTGAGATTAATATTTTTAGCGCCATCTGCCAAAAACAATCTGAACTAAAAACAGATAATCAGATATGAAATATTTGTGCCCTGTCACATTGATTTGTTGCAGTAACTATTATTTTCTTAATCATAACTTTTCACTTCATATAAATTTTTGAAACCGTCAATCTATGTTAGAACGCCTTATAAAAAATGTGTGGGGAGAGTAGATATCGACAATGTCAACCTTCATCTATGAAAAGGTACCCCAACATAGAATCGAGTTAACATGTTTTATATACTAGATTTATATTAGTAATTTTGAAGTGGTAGATACACTACAGTACTCTCCCACCAGAATTATATCTGTGATAGAATTCGATGAACGAATACCACTAGTAGATTCATTGCTGTTTTGTAAGAAGCCGGTAGAGCTGTATTAAGATCACCATACTTTTGCTGATCGTGAGAGCTGTATTAAGTTCACGGTCGAGGTCTCTCTTGTGTTGCCTTTAGCAGTCGTCGAGTGTATGCAGGTAGTTGTGTGTGATCGAGACTGAGTAGCAATAGCATGAGGAGGTGGATAATGTCGCAGTCACAAGTAGCAAGTCAACTATTCAATGTGGACCATCCTTCGAAGTAGGCGTGTTCAGATTGAAGTCGGTCCAAATTTGTTTACTTTTTTCAAATAAGTATGCTTGACGTGCTTTTGCAGTTATTCTTTTGTTTGCTGGACATTAGACGAAATTCGATATCAGATCCTGCTTCAAACTGGTCACCAAATTTAGCAGTCAAACTAGCAGTATCATGTAAAAAACTACTACGATAAAAACACAGCAAAGGGGGAAATTTTCAGTCACCTCAAGGCATGCCAATATATATTGTATTTTTTTCCTCCAGATTATCGTTAGTACCAATATCAGGCATTGGCATTATAGCGCTTCGTCGATTACATTTGGCGAGATCAGTATCCGGCACAGAAATCTCTCTAAAAAGGATTGATTTTATTGAAATTACATACATTTGCTGACTTGTGTGCTCAATATAGGCTTATAAGTCATTGTCAAGTAGAAAATACAGATAAAAACAATTCAGAGAAAGACATCACAAAGAATACATCCAGGGTTACGGCGGGATTCGAACCCGCTACCTCTACGCTTAACAGAGCGTTTGGACCAGCGATACCGCTCGGCCAGGGAGGCCCTTCTAAAAAGGACGAACTGGAAACCATTTGGTGTCAAGAATTTATTTTTCTGAAACATTTTTTATGGTTAATTTAATTTTACCTCTTTTTAGGAATTGATAAATGGCATGTTGGAACCGAATGTCATAGAAAGATTAACAATAGACGAAATAAGTAGAAGTGATTGGGTGCGAAAAAATGAATCAGTGAGTTCTATATCATCGGAAGAAACTGATATAGTGCAAGATATAGCTGAAATGAAATTTGAGCTCCAAGAATCGTAATTGTAGCTAACTGAAATGTTAGCTCTGTTTCTATATTTTTATTGTATTAAATTATTATTTCTGTCAAAACACCGAATAAGAAGTATACATTAAATCAATCATTTGAATATCCACCATGTTTGGACAGGTTTTGTATTAAATAAATAATTGCTTTATAATAGTTGTATCAGATTACTAAAAACTTTTTTTTGCTCAATGATATTTAAATTTATTACATTATGAATTTCGTTATGAATACTTTCAAGAAATTGATTCGGAAAGGTATACTTAATAGAAGAAAAACTTCCTTAACCTCAATAATTAATAATTTTTATAGCTAATGCAGTTTCTTTTTTCATGTTTTTAGAATAAAGACCTTGTTTTTAAGAGTTTGGTATTGTCAATTTCTTCCACATTAATAATTTTTTATGCCAATGAATTTTTTTTCGTTATTAAATGCAATTAAGTTATGCATTCATAATTGCACGAAATAACTATTCATCAAAAATAGTTTCTTATTCCGAAAGTGTTACAATATGTCTTAATTTATGCAGTAACAAAATATTTAAAATTCAAAAATAATTTTGAAAGCACTCATCACGAAATAGTTTGGCATTACGGTTAGTTAAAAATAATAAACTATTTTCTACTTATTGAGTAGAAGTATGAAATGCTTATTCTAATTTATTAATCTTTCAGAAGTTAGTATTTTTAAATAAAGAATATTTTAACATTTAAAACAATCATCTTTGTTTTCAACCAAGGTTTCTTCTAATAACTAGAATAACTATAAACTTTTTATGAGTAATTTTAAGGTAATTTAAAAATATCAAGTGTGCATATAATGTCATGAAAATTAGTTTTAATTATTCAGCAAATGAAATTATTTTTCCCATTAAAAAGCATTGAAAGCGTTTATAAATACGCTGTATCTTAAAAATTTGTACCTTTCTAAAAAAAATTATTTCAAAGTCATATTAGTTAGGAAAAATAACAGCTATCGATTATTGACTTTAGCTCATGACATTTTAAATCCAAAAATAGGCTTCTTTTAAAATCAATACCAATTTTGACGGAGCAAAGTTTGATTTGTGAATTATATCTGATTTTATTTTTATTCGATATTGGGGTGTGATTTCATTATTGTTATAATAGAATAAGTGTAAACAATAGCAACGTGCTAAGCAGTTAATAAAGATTTAGATCACGAAAACAATTGATGTTACTCTATAAACAATTAATTATTGATGTTTTGATGTAAAGACAATTAATTGATGTTTTGAATTAATTATATAAAAATTAACAACCCTGTATTTCAATATAATTTTATTTTGTATGAAAAGTTTTGAAAAATGGTCGAATATTTAATTCAGAACCTATTAATAAATCAATATTTAATGTTTTAAAAATCGAAAAATGGAAATTGAATTAAGAATTTTAAAATAGCACTGAAAGTAAGAGACGCTGAATTAAGAATATAAACTAGTTTTGAAGGTAATGGAATTGTAATTAAGAATTTAAACTAGTATTGGAAGTAATGGAAGCTTAATTAAGAATAATAACTAGTATTGGAAGTAATAGAAGCTGAATTAAGAATATAAACTAGTATCGGAAGTGATGGAAGCTGAATTACGAATATAAACGTAATGAAAGTTATGGAAGCAGAGTTAAAAATGTAAACTAGAATTGAAAGCAATGGAAGCTGAATTAAGAATATAAATTCGTGTTGGAAGTAATAAAAGCTGAATTAAGAATCTAAGCTAGTATTGGAAGTAATGGAAGCTGTATTAAAAATATAAACTAGCGTTGGTATTGGAATCAATGGATACTTAATTAAAAATATAAAGGTTGTTCATTTTTATAATAATGTCAAGCGAAAATGTAAAGCGTATTCGAGTATTCTAATATGAAAAACGCTGCTTTAGGAAAACGTCATTTAAAGTTTTGAAACTTAGTCCATTTATGTCAGGTCCAATGCGCTACATTTTTGCCATTTGTATAAATTCAAATGCATACTTTACTGAAAATGTCCCAGTATATAATTATAAAAGAATTACAAAATTTAAAAAAAATGATTTTTGTTTTGAAAATTTTGTTTATCTAAGCCTTTTTTCTCCTAATATGTTTTCGTTGGAAAAGCTGAACTATACAATCTAATTTTTTTCTTAAATTAATCTTTAAACCAATTATGTTTTCTTTAAATAATTCTGTTTTACTATTTAAAAAGTTTTTAGTACTTTTTTCAGAACTACACAAAAATTTAAAAAGTCCCAAAATGACAAAAAAAGCTAAAAGAAGATTTTAAATCTTAATTCCCAAATTTAAATTAAATTTCGTTAATTTAAATTTGTAATTATATATATATATATCATTTAAATGAAAAGTATTGCAACTCAATTTAGTATATAAGCGCCATTTTAGAGAATATTATCAACACAAAATACTTGACTTGAAAACGCATTGGTTTCGCAATGCAAATTCGCAAAATTAACTCAAAATTCTAAATCACCCCTTGAGAATTTAAAATTTAGTTGGAAAAAAATTTACAGTTAAATAAATAAATGCATTAATAAAATTTTTAATTTATAATTAAGAATTTAGTCAAATTTCTTCCACAAAACTCTATATCAGACTGTTCTTCTTAGAAAGACCTTAAGCTCAAAGAGCTTAACATTATTTTTTTGAAAAAACGTTCTCAAAAATTATTTATGTCTAAAAGTTAAAATTTTTTCGTGGAGTGAACTTGCTCAACTATTTTCGAAATTTGATAAAATTTTCTTTATATTTCCATGTTGTCCAAAAATTTTTTATCTTTTTTCAAATTCTTTCTTAGCATTGATAACTATTAGTAATCTTCAGTTTGAACATACCAGTTTATTTGAGTTAGTCCTATGGGTGTATATTTATAGAGAATTATAGTAACCAGTTACTAAATCTTATTTAATAAAATTTTTCATTAAATTTTAACATTGCGTATTTCAGGAAAAGCTTACAAATTAATGAATTGAAAATTGTTCAAAGAAATTTGCTAAGATTTTATGCATTAAGCTCAATAAATAAATCAAAGACAAATGCATTTTTGGAAGACAGAAAATAAATTTCTTTTACTTAAAAAAAGTTATTGTATTAGAATTAATTACTTTATTCGACTTAGGCGATGAAATTAAGATAAGCATTAGGTCATGATACAAGCTTTCATAAGACAATAATAAAAAAAAATATTCGATACGCACTGATGGCTTGTATTTGGAAGTGCTTGTATTTGGTTGTTTTGGTTGAAGGAATTCGAATCAGTATCAAAACATATATTCGCTGTTTGATGATAAGAACTTAAGGAAAACAGTTAGATAAGACGAACATGATTTTCATTCAACTTTATGTGGACTTTTTAACTGTTCACTTTTTTTAAGAAATAACTAAATATATATGAATGTAATTCAGAATTGTTTCAGACCAAATGTTTTTGTACTTTATAGGAAATATCAATGTATATTCTTTTAAATTTTTACATTTAATATTTGTTTGTGTTTATGTTGCCGCTAATATATGAAATGATCACTGTTAAAAATGGATACTCATATCACGAAACTTTTTTCGTTTTTGACGAAACCGTCTCTTGTCTTATGCTACGAGCAAAAATTTTGTCGAAATAAAGAAACAACTATCGCACCTTCTTCGATAAAACAAATTTCCTCAAAATTGAACACATTATTCATTATGATATTTTTTCAAAAAAATAANTTTCGTGGAGTGAACTTGCTCAACTATTTTCTAAATTTGTTAAAATTTCATTTATACTTCCATGTTGTCAAAAATTTTTTTATCTTTCTTCTAACCCTTTTTTTATCACTAATAATCTTCAGTCTGAACATAACAGTTTATTTGAGTTAGTCTTATGGGTGTATATTTAGAGAGAATTATAGTAACCAGTTATTAAATCTTATTTAATAAAATGTTTCATTAAATTTTAATTTTACGTATTTCAGGAAAAGTTTACAAATTAATGAATTGAAAATTGTTCAAAGAAATTTGCTAAGATTATATGTATTAAGCTCAATAAATAAATCAAAGACAAATGCATTTTTGGAAAACAGAAAATAAATTTCCTTTATTTAAAAAAAGTCATTGTATTAGAATTCTATACTTCATTCGACTTAGGCGATGAAATTAAGATAAGCATTAGGTCATGATACAAACTTTCATAAGACAATAACAAAAAAAAATATCCGATACGCACTGTTGGTATAAGAAGTACTTGTATTTGGTTGTTTTGGTTGAAGGAATTCGAATCAGTATCAAAACATATATTCGCTGTTTGATGATAAGAACTTAAGGAAAACAGTTAGATAAGACGAACATGATTTTCATTCAACTTTATGTGGACTTTTTAACTGTTCACTTTTTTTAAGAAATAACTAAATATATATGAATGTAATTCAGAATTGTTTCAGACCAAATGTTTTTGTACTTTATAGGAAATATCAATGTATATTCTTTTAAATTTTTACATTTAATATTTGTTTGTGTTTATGTTGCCGCTAATATATGAAATGATCACTGTTAAAAATGGATACTCATATCACGAAACTTTTTTCGTTTTTGACGAAACCGTCTCTTGTCTTATGCTACGAGCAAAAATTTTGTCGAAATAAAGAAACAACTATCGCACCTTCTTCGATAAAACAAATTTCCTCAAAATTGAACACATTATTCATTATGATATTTTTTCAAAAACATAAGTAAATAAATAAATGAATAAACAAATAATAATTAATAAATAAATAAAGAAAAAAATATGAAAAAACTTGTAGTACTTACTGCATCGAATTTCTCTAATAATCACTTCATTGTAAGTATAGGTGGATCAAAACGCCCCAACAACATAAGTAGGACGGTAGAACAAAGAGATATAAATTACACCCATGCCCAGAGCGGGATTCGAACCCGAGATTTTCGGCATACGAGGCCAGCTCCTTGACCACCAGACATCCGGTCAGATCATTTCTTTACTTTCTATCGTCTAGTATTCATTCTAGTTAACAATCTCCCACGATGCTCTGCAATGAGATTTCGAGTTGAAAGATTTTCGTCATATATTTGAGAGAATCACGTGATTTCGTGACGAAACGATTCTCAAATATAACGAAATACAGCCGACTGGATTGTCAAAAATGAGTTT